TTTCAAGTTTTCAAGTTTTGAAATAGGTAACACTCTCCTAAAAGATATCCAGCAGCAATGCTCCTCAAGAGAATCTTGAAACTGCTGGGGAAGAGTCCAGAAATTTGGGGACATCTGAACTGCGGTCAAAATTTGAACAGGTAAAAACATARTTAGAAAGGAAAATTTTCGCTTTTGAATTGCGGTCTGTTTCTAGAACTAGGGGGGATTTTAAGCTATTTTACAGCTAATGTCATCACACTTGGACGATATCACAAGGGTTTTTCAATGTAGGTTTAGACTCTGAGAAATTTTCATTGATTGATTCTAAAAACACATTTGTAGAATGAGAAAAGAATGATTTTTTAGGTAAGAAATAAATTTTGACTGAACGTCTCTCTAATAATGTGTCTCCCGCTGTGATTTTGACCGCAGTTTAAACAGAGAGTCCGGATAGGCTAAAACACTTTGCACCGTAATTCGGTGGTACCGAGAAATTTTTGCTCAACATTTGGGGGGATTGATAATGAGACAATAATCAATAATCTGATTCCAAAATAAAGTAAAAGAAGTTCAAACAAAAAATTTACACGATAAATTCTTCGCAACAGTTGTTTGGGCTAAAGAAGGACTTTTGCAATTAAGGTTTATATTACCTGAGACGATCATATYAAAAGGAAACGATGCAAAATATTCTAAAGTTTTGCGTGATTCTATCAACTTGAAAAGGCATGAAATCTACACATCAAATGTACTGCTCTTTCATGAAAACCAACTAGAGCATATATTAGCAAATGTACAGGTCGCCATCTAAATCTGTAGTGCCCAGCAGTATAACCATTTATTCTACAGTACTAATCTATCTTCTTTCAGTTATATTTTGTTGGCAACTATCTTGAACGGCAGGATTTTTTAAGAATGCAGGAGCTACCAGTCAAAAATGTAAAAATCAAATCCATTTACTTAGTACCTACTTTTAGTTGTTGCTATCATAATGTGTGGTACAATTTTGTTAAATTCATAAATAAACAATTTAAGTCCATTGTATGTGCTTTTTTATATCTTGATCATAACAAAAATATTATTATTAAACACATATAACTGATTTTATAAAATTTTAGTTATTTGTGTTTAAATTGTAATAGGAAAATTAAAATTGAATGATAAAGTATTTAAATTTGCCGCCAATTTTAGTTCAACATACAAACAAGAGACAGCGCCAGGCTCGAAATTTTGACGACCGGAAAATTGTGTGTTACTTGATTTTCTATATTGAGTATATTCAATGGTCATAGGTTTTCACAAAAAATAGGTCCCTTGCGTTTTTTTGATACAACCTACCGTTTTTGAGTAAAATAAGTTTACAATATGTGTTACAGACTAATTAAAATTAATTAAATTAAAAAAAAAATCTTTGATCTTTGAATTCGTTCAGGTGTTTAAAGGTTATCAGCTGTACCAACTTTTGTAACTTTATCTATTCTGCAATAGTGATAAAATACCATTTAAAAACGCAACTCTTTCAGGGGGTGTAGCTCGCTTACTTAACATTTTTTGATACATCTTCGTATGAAATTTTGTCTTAAAATTAAACATTCTATCACCTGTTTAACTTTGTAACAATAAAAGCGGAACATTCTGTATATTGTGACTCACAATAAAAATGTAATCAAAGGGGCTGTAAAATTTCATGAACGAATGTCGTGCATAGATTGTTAAAATTAAATGACACTACAGAGTGTTGGTAAAACAGTGTGAATTGTAATGATGCTCACAAGAATGTTGTCAAAGCTGACTTTCCAGTCATTCTAGAAAAAAAAAAAGACTGTACTGATAAATTTTACTGGTGTTGATGCTACTAAGGTCTAGGTCTTCTGTTTATGAAATTTACAAACCACTTTTGGCTGCGTTTTTATTTAGACTCTCTAAGTAAACGTATTTAACCTAATTTTTAAGGTAATAATTAATATTAATAAATAAAATATTAATCTTGTATACTTTTCAAAGCAACACAAATGCTCCATGAAATTCGCATAATCTAGAAACACACGTAGTTTATAATGATTAAGCAAAAATTAATTAAATCACAAATAAATAACTCACTGATTTAAATGTCTCATAGTTGATTGCAAAAATATTCCAACCATAAAAAATAATCGGATCTTGAACTGTGATCATGACCATAATTAAATTTTTCTTAAAGTTTTCAGATGCTTCGTACCATTGTGACTCAAACGTTGCATAAAATAATTTTTCACTCTAAAATAAAACTTTTAATATTTAACAGTTGTAATATAGACATTTACTGTGGTAGTAACCAGATTACCAAGAAAACATTAAAAAAAAATTTGGACAGTGACACCGAGTGCAGTGAATACAAAAAACCAAAATTGTGTGTCTGATGGTTGTAGCTATAATAATGTATGATTAACGTATTGAAAATAAAAATTTGTAGTTCTTACCTGAGATATTTTATACATTGAGAAACAAATCATTGCAAATGTCGGTAAAAATAACTGTAAACTAATAATTTCTTTGAAACCATCTGTAATTAAGTTAGTGTACCTAAAAAATATATTTACAAATGAGAAGTTGTTAAATTTTCATACTTTTTAATAAGGAGGTAATGTTGTATACATTCGATTAGAATTTCATTCATTACTTCATTCTTACTTTTCTGTTCTGAAACTTTGTTATCTGCATTTAGTTCATGTAAGTTGTGGATATTTTTAAGTGTATCAATCAGTATCTCACACTGAGCTGTAATTTGCAGCAAAGATACGAATAAACATGAATCGAAAACACAATTTAAAAGAGAATTAAGATATAGACCAACTGCTATATGAGTATAAATATATTGGTACAAAATAGGTTTGTGATAATCAAATGGAAACCAGTGATCCGTGGGTAAATCTTTGTGTCTCAAATAAGACGATATAATTACTCCGCTTACACAACCAATATATGCTCCAAAAAAATATATTCTGAAGACAAATTTTGTTATCTCAATGTATCTTTTTAAAATTGTTCTTTGTTTTTCATTTCTTGGTTGAAATTCTTCTTGCTGTATTTGTTGCCATGATTCGGTGATTTTTTGGAATTTTCTACGGAATATTACACTTTTCAAAACTCCTTCCGCGGTACCGACTGCGACTTCCCAAGTTTCAATGGACCCAGTTTGAAATCCCGAAATACAGATTGTTAAAGTATATACGAAACACGTAGTTATTACAAAGTTTTTGTAAATTTTATAAACTACGCTTTCGTCTGGAAAATACCAACAGCCCAAAAATTTGAGTAGACGGATGACATTATCGAAAGGTTCAAATAAGTTAATTCTTTCCACCACAACCATATTGCACAAACTGGAGTGTGAGATACAAAACTTTCTTAGATTATAATCATTTGCCATTGTAGAATATAGATTTTCTTGAAACAAACAAACTGAACACTTACACGTGTGTGAGAAATTAATTTTTTTTATTAATAATAAATTATCTTATTTCCAGTGGTGTAGCAACCATTGTGGTGTGGATATGGTTAGTGTCAGATTTTCCTATTTTTAATTGCAAAATTAAAGATCTTGATAATTTTTGAAATTTTGAATATGATTTTCAGAAATGGTTTATGGCATTTTATAAAGTATCTTTTTATAAAATTGTAGCTTCTTTTTGCCGCCTCTGTTTTATACGCAATACCCCATTTTCTAAACACGACCACGTGACTCTTTTTGACCAATGCAGTCAGTACAAATCGTTCAAAGCACTGTCAATCTATTGCTCTGGAAAATTGCATAGACTGTATAATGTATTCAATTCCTATTACAAATCACCTCCCTTCCCTACAGTGTTTTTCTAATAACCTGTAGTTATTACGTGATTATAAGTTTAACATTTAATAATGTCCTTTAATTGCAATGTCAATTTATTGACGACGAATTGATGTCGTATAGACATAATTGTATAAATAGTAAAATATTACAGCAATATTCTATAAAAACACTGTTCTCACTATTCTCTGTGTGTGCCATGAGGATTTTAAAATTGAATTAAATATGATAAACTCTGTAATTAATGTTGAGGCCGTATTTTTTATTTTTAAGCTGCAAAACATTTAACGTTTAAAGTGTTGAATGAATATTATCGAGCGATCAAGATAATTTGTAATCGAGTCATCCTTGGATCCGAAAAAGTATGTCTGTAAAATGTCAAATGAAAAGTCGAAAGGTAAAGTGGCATGATCAAAAAGGTGATGATTATAATACCTAAATTTACCTTTAAAAAAGAATAGTTCTACTCGTATTATTTATTATACGTGCCCATTTTGACGATTTACCTTTCGACTTGTCATTTTATTTGACGTTTCACGTGCAGTTAGTTCAAAAACAGACATACGTTTTCGAATGCAAAGAAGACTCGATTACAAATTAACATTATACCACTTGAATTAATTATTATCAATGACAATTATTCATTAGCAGCGTGTTATAAAATTGTGTAAAAACAAAAATAAGACAAACACGTTGTTAACGACTAATAATTGTTATTGATAATATTTATTGTTCTGAAAATAATGAATTTAAAATTGACAGTTCTGAACAGGTGCGGTGTATTGCTTGGCTAAGTACGGATAGATGGCCCTGTAACTGGTTTTATTGGGTTTACATTTTGTTCAATAGAGTGAGCTATCCGTACTCTCTCATCCGTGCGCCTCGAAACAGTCCTTACAAAGTTAAATTTAATTAAAATTAAATTTGATGTTTTCGATGGTTGATCGATGGCTTGATTGGTGTTGTCATACTTAAACTAAGGTTTAAATTAAACTTTCCGAAATTGTGCTTTAACCCTTTCAGGTTATATGTGTCCCAGTAGAAAATTTGCCTCAAAAAGACGACTTGGTATATTGTTTTTAAACAATTTTGTTTTTTTATAAAATTTTTGTATCGGCCTTAGTTTTCGAGTAAAAAAAAATAATTTAAATGGACGTGTAGGTGTAGGTAATAATAAATAGCCAACCGTATACCTATACGGTTGGCTATTTATTAATATTGTTTTTAAAATTGAATAAAAAAATTGTAGGTTTTAGTTTCTTTATGTATGTTTGTGTTAGTTAACAATTATGTTATTTTAAATTTTAGACAAAAAATTCATAGTTTCGTTGCCGGCGCAATTTGGCATAAATATAAATTGCGTTATAATTACTTTATTTTGACCTGGGGAATCTCAGGCTACTTTTTGTTCCCATATTTTTGTTACACGCTGTGTATAATTAATATTATTAATCATGTTTTGGCATAGAAATAAATTGGACAAAAATAAAACCATTCTCTCTTGATTCATTTATTAAAATATTTAGTTTTTATAAGTACAAGTTCACAAAAATGTTAATTAATTATTTTTTAGACAATTTTTTTTGCAAAGATTTCATACTTTCAAAAATTAAGGTTAAAAAAGATATTGATTCACAAAAAGAACATC